GTATTCTCAGACATTTGCGTGCAGCGATTCTCCTCCAAGAGCATTTCTAGGTAAAGCTAAGGCATCTATCTCCTGCCTCCCTCCTGCATAAGAGACTATCAGGAGGGCTGGAAAGGAAATAAAGGGATGCAACACTATCAATACACTGATACTGTCTAGATTTTGATCTTTACAGTATTTCGCTCTGATAACGCCATTGCAGGGACATGCAAAAGACCCAGCTAAATAAATTTCCAGCTGTAAAAAGTTAAGCCACCAGCTGACAGAAGTAAACAGAAAGTGCTACTCGTTTCGCATCCCACTAAAACCTGAGCTATTTCTCAAATTCATAATTTGGATTTGTGTAGGCTCCACTGCTTTATCACAGAGCAGCAGTAGCAAACACCTTTTTTCTCTGAGGAGCAACACAGTGTGCCCATGGCCTGGCACGTGACTCGAGATGCTGCGAGACTGAGCACCAACTGCATCAACCTGAAGACGGATGCAGCAGTTTGGTCTGCTGCCACATCACCCATCCATTAAAAGCAGACACCAGGCTGGCTGGTGACATCAACCATCTCACCACCTGAGTGTTCAGAGATGGCTGCTCTCCTCAGATATCGATACCCACAGCACTTCCCTCTGGCACTTGCCTTTAAGTGAGTGAGTGAGACAGACACACGGACTGCCAAAAATTGGCCTCTGAAAAGCCTCCAATTAAGACACAATGCCTCATCTAGGATTAAAACTATTCGCTGCAGCAGGGCTTTTGTTTCAAAGGCATTCAGAGCATGTCTCCTCACAAATATTTCTGGTTTTCAATAAATCCTTGCCGCTTTCATTGCCTTTACCTTGCGACTTAACATCCATTTGTACCGAGCCATCCCATTACGTAAGGCTCAATGCTCTCAATGTCTTGCTGTGCAGTTTCCAGCCGTCCTGTGCATTTAGCACTCTCCCAAAGCCAGCGTGGCTAGAATTTCGATAAGGGATGGATTTATTGCATCTCCCCACTGCCTCGGTGCTCCAAGCAGAGTTCCTGTTTGGTTCAGGCAGGCTGACCAAACACATTCTTAGTGACCACAGCCAGAGAGGACTGGAAGGAATTCCCTGCTTTTCATTTTCATCTAACTCCAGGAAGCCTCAAATCTTGCTTTTAGCAGACTGCAATTCTCAACTTGTTTCAGCAGTGCTAACAGTGATTTCAGGAATGATTTTAAGAAACTTTTTTCACCATTTGAAAATCTTTCATTTCCAATATACAGAATGGCTGCTAATGTACAGCAGTTCTTTCAAAGTCATTATTTTTAAAGGTATCCAACATGTACCTAGAATGACAGCAAGGGATGCCTGATAAGCAATTGATGAATACCTTTACTTTTTGCTTTACTTTGCTACAACTCTGAATTGTGCTTATTCTAATAACTGTTATTAGAACAACACAAAACAAAGGTAATAGCTATCCCTCGGTCAGCTGCCAAGTAAACAGCTTACTGTTGAACTAATGAGGCCATAGACTGTTTCATTTCTTCTAGAAGATCAGATCATAGAATGGTTAGGGTTGGAAGGGACCTCAAAGATCATCAGTTCCAACCCCCCTGCCATGGACAGGGACACCCTCCACTATGCCCTCGTTCAGGCTCATTTGCATTACACCTTTCTTCAAGTGTGAAGCACTGTGTACAAAAGGACCATGCATCAGTAACACTGACTTCAATCAGACCACCTTGGACTTGTATCTACATGTATAGAGACTGACATAAATGCTCACTAGCCCACATGGAGTATAGGTATGAGCAGCACTTGAAGAAGCTCAGTTCTGCCATTTAGAGTTTTCCATGCGTCTTACCAACAGCAATTCAAACAGGCTGTTTTTTTCCCTTCAAATCTTATATGTCACAATGACGAACGAACCCTAGGAAAAGTGTCTGTATGGAGGATCATTTTCTTGATGGACTGTGATGAACCCTTCTGCACATCACACTCGTTCAAGGAAGAGAAGGGAATGAGGAGTATGCAGGAAACTTCCTAGGCAGCTAGCCTCACTCTGGTCCCTGAGAAGATTAGAGACTAGATCCTCCTTAAAGCCACATCCAGGCTCATGAGGGATAAAGTGACTGGTAACGGTCACCACTATAGTGCTAGCCCAATCTGGTTGCTGTCTGTGACGAGTCCTATGGACAAGGGGAGAGCAGCAGTTGTTTACCCTGATTTAGAGCAAAAATACACTTACAGAGCAGATGGACAACCTACAATGCAGATGAAAAATGGGGTGGACTGCTGTGCTCAGACTTTAGTAGTCAATGACTTGTAATCTAGGAGGTGCCCAGTTGCAAGTGGAGTAACCTCAGGGGTTAGTACTGGAGACAACACTGTTTTTTGTCTTACCTACCTGGATGATGGGATAGAGTACACTGTCTTAAGTTTGCAGATGACACCAAACTGAACGATAGGAGGAGGATCGGAGCAGGACAACCCAAAACATGGGAGAGGGCTCCCATTCAGTCAGATCTTGACTGGCTGGAGTGATGTGCTGATGGAAAATTTGTTAAGTTCATCAGTTCTGCAGCTGAGAAATAAGAAATGAAGGGACCTGGGGCTAATGGTGGACACATTGAACAGGACTCAGAAGTGTGCCCCCTTGCAGCTATAAAGACCAACTCTGCACCAGGTTGCATGGTGAGACTATGGCCAGCAGATTAAAGTAAGTTATTTTCCCCCTGTATTCAGTACTTGTAAGCTGCATCTGGAGTAAAATATCCAGTTTTGGGCTCCTCAGTACAAAACCAGACATTGAAAAACATGAAACGAGTCAACTGAGGACCACCAAGACTGTTAGAAGGCTGCAGCACATAACACGGCTCAAGGGAGGCCCAGCTGGGTTTGTTCAGCTTGGAAATTATGGCTGCAGGACCTACAGTCTTCAACTATCTAATGGATGGTTACAGAAAATATGGAGCCAGACTCTTCAAGAGGCAACAGGCAAGCGACAGCAAGTGAATATCTGACTGTACATCAGACAAAAGTTTGCACTGAAGATGCTACAAAACCAGAACAGGAAGGCAGAGAGGCTGTCGAATGCCCATCTCTGGAAATACTCAAAATGTGATTGCGCGCAGCCCTGGAAAACTTGACCTACTTTCCAAGTCAACTCTGCTTTGGTCAGGTTGACTCAGATGACCTCCAGAAGTCCCCCCAATCTAAATTACTCTATGATTCCAAAACCTGAAAAGAGCAAATGCAAGCTTCACAGTGTGGCTAATAAAACACACAGACATCTATTTATCTTATGCTGTGTGACTGTATTCCAATCCCTTAAGATAATTTTCATAATATCATCAATTTTACCTTAAGCCCTCATTATCAAATAGTCCAGGCTGCACAAGCATTCAGGTACAGATGATCTGTCAAAAGCACAAATCCTAAAAGTAATGGCACTGAAATTCAGGAGTGACGTTTATCTCTATGCAAGGCACAGCTGCCCAATTCCAGGCCCTGGTTCTTAAAAATAAAAAATAAAAAGCTTGAAACCGCATGGTTTGGATAAGATACACAACTCAAGTCCTGGCCATTTTCAGTTCCTCACAACCGCTCAGGTCATTTCTTTGACCTTTTGTGTCACACACATGAGGAGAAATAACATGAACACTGGCTACTATCATGTGTAGAATATAGCATTAAGACATGTACCTTTCTAGATACGCATGAGCTAAGATTTTGTGTATGCTGAGATTTTGTCCCCAAAGCAGAGAGATTTTTCCTACAGCTGTAGCAGACATGTCAGAAAATTATTTCCTTAGCTTAACTTTGGCTTGCTTCTTTGCATATGTTTTTACAAAAATTCAAAACCCTAAGATCTGGAGACAATACCACAACTGTAGCTTTAGGTTTTTCAACCACTAACTACATATCTACGGATTTTTCCAAAAGTTAACATTTATTCATAAGTTCATACTACCAGCAATCCTTTGAGAGGAATCATGCTCTTAAAAAATAAGCTTAAACAATAAGATGTAAAGCTAATAATGGTCTTCGGTTTATCAACACCTTACCCAAAAGCAGATACGAGATCCGTAATTAGAAAAAGTGTGGCAACCTCCTTTCGACAGTGTAATAAAGAGCTTCTCCACGTGACAATATGAAAAACAGCTAACAAAAGCGTGACCTTTTGCACGTTATTTGCGCACTTCTTTGTTATTTACTCTTTTCTATGCTTGTTACAAGTAGAATGATTGACCATTGCATCGTATAGCTGTTTCCTTCTCGCTGTAACTAGTGCTACTTACGACATTCTCCACCACACCTTCTACTCAGAGAAATAGGAACATTCAATGAAGATTTACTAAAAGATCTCTTTTCCAGTTGATGGTAATTACATACAACAATGACTTTATCGCGACAGAGAACGTAGGAATGGTTCAGAGGATATGCTCAGTGGCTAACAGGATACGCTAACCATATTTTCCCTGTTGTGTCACGGATTCTAGGAGTCAGGAAAGAATACAGAACACTGGGATTCTTTAAGAAATCTTGTACTAGTCTACTTCCGGAACGATTAAACATCTGTGACAGATAGTCTATCCACTCCATATAGGGAAACATTTACGTAGTACCATCAGTTAAAGCTTGAAGGAAAGTAACATCTGTTTAAACCAGTTTACCAAAACTAAGCATACATTGAGAAGAAAAAAAAAGTAACTGGAGACAAAAAGAGAGTATGTCTAGCTATAGCTTAGACTCCTTCATAAATAAGTAAACAAATAATAGTCTTAAGTTTGCTAGGGTGCCCGTTCAGCCACATGTTTAACCACAGCTTGCTTTTGCTTTTAACATCGTCTTAGTCTTTAAGGAGCAGGCATTACAAGTCTGTGCCCAATTTGCACTCCAAGCTCCCAAGACCCTGGATCTTCTGCCCTCCATCTTAGTACCTTTTCTTTTGCACATCTTCCTCTTCCCAGGCAGCAGGCACAAATAAAACAAACCAATAAAGTTCATCTACCTGAGCTGAAGGTTTTTTTTTTTGGATGGATAACTCTGCCAGATAAGTAAGCTTCCAAATATTAGAGAACAAGAGAAGGGACACAGAACAGTCAAGACAGAACACTTTTGTTTTTGTCAATATTTCTTTAAATCCCAATCCAGCTCCTAGTAAGACTGGACACTACTTACAACACTCCTAGAACTGCAGAAGAATGGAAACACAATAGGGAGCGAGTGGAGAGGGGGACAAGACAGCCCAGCGGCTGGCTTCAGACATTCACATACACAAAGCCAGCATCCACTGGAGTCGTTAAGGCCCAGATGCCCCACTAATAGGAACAAACCCAAACACAAAGGTAGCACATGAAATGTATTTACCTATTTAAACACAGGCAGCTGGTCAGGCTAGAATGGGGAAGGTAACTGCTAATTCCTTGTACTACAAGGAAGGAATGGAGTAAAAAAACCCAAGCCCACGGGCAGGTTTTTGCTTTGTGAACCTCTGTCTGTGCTGCTGGTTAACAGTGGTAAGTATAAAAAAATCAAAGAAAAATAATCTATTTATAGAACAAGTCAGTAGTCTGAGACATTTAGAAAAAAGTAAAAACAAGTCCTTCTTTAAAAATGGATTTACTAAAACAACTGTCACCCAGGATGACCCCAAGCCCTCTGGTCCTCTGGCAAAGCCAGGGGCAACTTCAAGCAAGAACTGTTGCTGACTGCACACTGGTACACATCCAGCAAAGCCAGCAGGGAGGGGGATTTGCGCTGCCAACAGTATCTGCAGACTGCTTGCTGGTATCGCTTGAGGCCATGCCTGTAGCCTGGTGATACTGGAAATAGCTGTGAGTGAAACTTTTTCACAGAAGTACATGTCAGTGTAACCTCTGAGGTAAGTGGGCTGTCTTCTTTCCTTCCCATCCCTGGGTACAGATCACAGAAGCTGGTGTCCTGGGTGCTGCACCTCCTTGCCAGCTCCATCCTGCATGAGACAACTTTAATGTGCAGGAGTGTAGAACTCTACGCAAAGCCTAGAACAGGAGAGGGCATCCCTGTGGAAAGGGAAGCACTCTGCTTTTCCCAAGCTCTGATCTAGCTAGACATCTTCATCAATGTTTTCTGGCCCTCCTCAGGACAGGAAGATCAGTTGTTCCCCACTAAGGAAAAAAAAAAAGTTTTGCCTAGTAGAGTAGAGTTGGGTTTCTTTTTTTGGTAAACAGAACCTTTGCTGATTTCTGAGATCATGAGCTCCTCTGCCCTTTAGCTACAAAAGAGAAATTAAAATAAATTCATCCACTTGCTCCCATCCTTATAGTGTAGTGTTAGCTGCCTGGATACAGAGGCAACTTAACTGCCCCAAGACATTGCCCTACTCACTGGGTTGGCATGGGGAGGCAAGAGAGAACTTCCGAAGTCACCTCCTTCGGGTAACCTGGTAGGCCTAACAGCTCCAGCCTATGCCCACCCATTCCAGGCCAGCTCCACTGCCAACGTGTACTTCTAACACCCTGAAGCGTCTAATCTAACAGCCTCGGGTTTGCTCGGTCTCTAAGAGCAACAGCCACACTCAAAGATGGAAACACTCAAGTCAGAAAACACTGGCCGAAGCTCCTAATCAGGCGGGGTCTGCATAGATGAGTCGGTACCACTGTGCTTTGACATCCTCATTTTATGAAGGAAGCCAGCTGTAAGGAAGGGACCAACTCCGCTGCAGGTCTGTACATCCTTGGAAGTGAAGCTCAGTGGCTACATTAGCTTCAAACCCTCTTCTGCTGTAGGGTTTCAGTGGTCCATTTCCCAATAAGTTCCAGGCATCGAGTAGTTGCTAACTTGTCTCCTTAAGATCTTCCATTGGTAGTTTGTAGCTCAATAAGAAAGGAGGAGGTGGTGCATGAGCAGGGCTACTTGGTCCCTGCATTGGCTTCTTTGCACAGTTTATACAGATGTAATCCTCGTTCTCAGCCATTTCTGGAGAGACACCGACACAAACTTGATGAAACCACTCATCGCAGCCACCATCACACTGCACCCAGTCCACCTGCAAGAGATGAGATCAGCAACACACGGCACATTAGAAGGAAAGACAAATGGGCATAGTTTCTATGAAGAAAATACCTAGAACACAAAAGCTTTTGGGCACAAATTAATGCCCTACGAAGCTTGTTTTAACAAGCTGCTTCGGTTTAATAAAAAAAAATAACACTCTTCCAAGAAGCCTTGCCCATCCTTAGACCACCACGGTACAAACACACACACTACTACTGTTGAGGAACATGGCAGTCAGCTCTCCTCAAACAAAAGACAGGTACGCTAGAACACATTTAAAACAGGAGTTTGCTCAGGGACCGTTAGTGCAGCATAGATGAGGTTCTACAAATACACATCCTAAATGACATCCCTTAGACTGCATCCTCAAGTGGCAGCTTTTGCAACTTAGAAATTACAGAAAACAGAAGGACTTTACTGCTTTTGGCTACAAAAAAAAGCCACGTGATCTCAGCAGCTTTAATACTTTTCTACCAGCAAGGCATCAGGTGTACAGCTGGCCACTGAATGCCAAAAAATGCACACAGGCTGTACCTCCAAAGTGTCAGAACATGTAAGGTAAAATATTTCAAACTTTGAGCTGAACTTGCTATAGGACAATTAGGAAACGCATAAAAAGTAAATTAAAAATTAAGAAGGAGAAAAGATTAGTTATTAGATTTCTCTTACTCCCCAAGTAAAAATACCTGTTTTTACAAAAGCTGAGATTAGTAGGGTAATGAATACAGATTCTTAATTTTAATGCCATGCATTGGTACAGCTGTAAAAATTGTTACTTTTGTAGTTCTGCTTTCATCTTTCAGAGGAATGTAAAAATAAAAATGTATTAAGGAAAGCAACAGTAATTGCAACCTATGTAAGATGAAAAAACATGATCAGCTTGAGATTTTACTTTAGTTTGTAGGAACGCTATTCCTGAACACAATTTTAAAAGTGACTAGTAATAGACACTAACAGCTACAGCTTCAGTCATTATATTCACATGTTGAATGTACAAGAACACGTCCAGTCTTATGGAAAGACAGTCATTCCATTAAAAGCTTTGATTATACAATCGGGAATTTTATTCAGTTTCATTTATGGAAGTTTGATTAATTTAGTACAACCTCCTTTATAATACGAACTTAAAGGTACTCTCCTTCTTGCAATATCAATTTCTGTAAAAATGTACTATTATAACCTAATTATCATCTGTGAAGTAAAGAGAACAGTGATACAAACACTGCACTAGCTTTTCAACGATGAATCTTTCAGTGTGATTTCTAACTTTGGTCTAAGATTAAGACTTCAAAACTGGTCTTTTAACTGGTCTTTTTAAGCATTCAGATGAACGCTTGAGTTCTGTGTTTCAATTCTGTGAAACTAGAAATAAGTTTTTGGTATTTGTATTTGTTCCTACTCTCTCTCATGCACAAGTGCAGTACAGTGTCAATCCCACAGTTATTATTGGGAGTGTTTTTGGAGTGTTTTTTTTCTTCTTTCTAGAAAGTAGAAAAAAATATTCCAAAACCCACGTTTTATTTGACCATCAATTAGTCCATGTTAAAAGCTGACAATCAGAACAGGAGTAAGAGAGAGGCAGATCACGTTTCTTTTGTAATAATCTGACCAGGTCTGTTTATCTCCAACGAGAAAAGTGAAGCACTTTGTAGGCACCTCAGCCTGCAACATCACTGTTCACAGACTGCATGCAAGAAATACAAAACCTTTACTTCACTTGGGAGTACCAAACATCCCCCACTTCTGCTCGGAAACACACTGAAGTCAGGAACATTTCTAGCTGATTCACAGCATTGATCCTTTGAATCAGACAACATATGTTGCATAGCCGGCAAAAAAAACTACATAGCTTGAATCTCTCTTCTGAGATTCTAATTGTCCATCGTCTTCTCCTGTTTTAAAGTACCTAAGAGAACAAGGGAGTTCTATAGTTTTACCTACTGCATCTGTGTACCTGCCCAAGCACTACTGGATCCTCTGCCATTTCCAATCACGCCACTTCTGTTACTTACGCTGTTCAACCTGAATCGCACTGACTGCATGGCACTGGGGTTTTTGACTTCGCTCAGAATTGCCTACAGCAGAATTAAGCAAAACTCACTTTGTCCTTGCAGGGCCTCTGGCAGTTCTGTGCAGCACATACGGCATTCTCATCATCTGACTCCTCCGCTCCTGACCAGTCGTATTTAGAAGGAATATCTAGAATCTTCTTCTCTCTTTTTTTCTCTGTGCTCTCCTTTGCTAGTTCCACCTTTGTCACAACCGCCTTCTCTCGCTTCTTCTTCCGCTCCTCTTCCTTAGCCAGTTTCTTTGCCAGCTTGTTCAGCTCCTTTGTCTTATCTATGGTGAGTTTTAGCTTCTTCTTCTTGGGTTTTTCCAGTTTTTTCAGCTCTTTAGATTTTTGCTTCATATCTCCGAAAAACTGCTCTGCTCTCTCCAGTTTTCGTTTCCGCTTCCTCTCAGAAGAGTCTCTCCCTCTCATTTTCAGTGGTTTTTCATCCATGCTGTCGTCCTTCACAGAAAGGGTGAAAAGAGATTTGTTTCACATGCAAATTTCCATATACTGCAAACCTGTGGTTTGAGACATGTACTTACCTCCACTGTTACCCTGACCTGGTAAGAAGAAACCCATTCAACAACATACTGTTATAAATTCTATACAAAACGGGGCTCAACTTTATTTTCACCACTCTAGAAAAAAAAATTGTAAGTGGTATCAACTGTGTCGAAGTACAATGAGTCAAAAATGACCAGTGGAAAAAGTAAAACATCAGCAAGGGTAAGAAGGCAGAAGAAGCAATAATTACAACTCCCTTCTCACATTGCTTTTTAATACAAGTTGAGAAGATTAATCATTTGTTAGATGTTCCTGCTTATTTTTCATCCTAGGTCAGTCTTGCCTGTAATTATTTTTGAGAGAAAGCAATTGCTATTCTGGAGATTAAGAAATAGCAAGTAGTGAATTCTTAAAATGTACCAACTCAAGCAAGAGAAGAAAGTAACAGATACATTATTTGAACAGCTCCCAAACTGGCATACATCGTAAATATCCTGGCACCATTAACAACTCTTAAATAGCAGGCTCAGTTTTGAAGTGAGGCTCAAAACTGGCAAACTCTCTTATTGCAGGTAACATCCACACTAACAAGCCCTGCTTATATCTGAAGGATTCACACATATAGCTCTTTTGTACAAACACAACTGGCTCGACTTCAGTTAATCCAGCTATACACTTTAACCTTAATAATTAGTAAGGGACACACGACTAGCCAGCAAAGACACTGTTTACTGCACATTACTTAATACAGCTGCTCCACTCCCCAAAAAAATCCTCTGAAGATTATTTTACAAAAGCCTACCTATTTTGCACATAAATAGACGTAGAAAGGTATTCAATTCAAAATTAATAGTTCTAGTCAAACAAGTATTCCCCAGGGTTAACCAGAAAATGTTGTAACACACTCCCCTGCCAAAAAGGCTGTGCTTAACTTTTAATATAACAGTCTGGCATACTACTTATAAATTGCTATCTGCTGGCATTCAAACTGTTCTTCAATCAATTCCATGCCAAAATCGTTACATTAAAAGAGCATTAAGCTTACAAATTGAGGTATTTGGGTCAAAACATGGTAAAGCAGTACTTCTGACACCAAGTTGTGTGGTGTTGTGGACACGCTGGAGGGAAGGGATGCCATCCAGAGGGACCTTGACAGGCTGGAGAGGTGGGCCTGTGAGAACCTCATGAAGTCCAACAAAGCCAAGTGCAAGGTCCTGCACATGGGTTGGGGCAATCCCAAGCACAAGTACAGGCTGGGCGGAGAATGGATCGAGAGCAGCCCTGAGGAAAAGGACTTGGGAGTGCTGGTGGATGAGAAGCTCAACATGAGCCGGCAATGTATGCTGGCAGCCCAGAAAGCCAACCGTATCCTGGGCTGTATCAAAAGGAGCGTGGCCAGCAGGTCAGGGGAGGTGATTCTGCCCCTCTACTCACTCTCATGAGACTCCACCTAGAATACAGTGAGTCTCCAACGCAAGAAGGACATGGAGCTACTGGAACGAGTCCAGAGGAGGGCCACGAAGATGATTTGAGGGCTGGAGCACCTCTGCTATGAAGACAGGCTGAGAGAGTTGGGGCTGTTCAGCCTGGAGAAGAGAAGGCTCTGGGGTGATCTTCCAGCAGCTTTCCAGTACCTAAAGGGGGCCTACAGGAAAGCTGGAGAGGGACTTTTTACAAGGGCGTGTAGTGATAGGACAAGGGGCAATGGCTTTAAACTGATGGAGGGGAGATTTAGATTAGATATAAGGAAGAAATTTTTTACATTGAGGGTGGTGAGGCAGTGGAACAGGCTGCCCAGAGAAGTTGTAGATGCCCCATCCCTGGAGGTGTTCAAGGCCAGGTTAGATGAGGCTTTGGGCAACCCGGTGTAGTGGAGGATTCCTCTGCCCATGGCAGGGGGGTTGGAACTACATGATCTTTGAGGTCCCTTCCAACCTTAACCATTCTATGATTCTTTGGAGGCAGGGTCCTTGACTGTTATCCATTGTATACGGACAGCACTCAGCAAATGAGACAACTGATTAATACTGCCCATCTAGCCTCACTGTTCACAGCATGTACCCTTCCATCTTACCTTAGTGTACAATACCAAAAAGCCAAGGAAGAAACATCTTCAATCTATTTCCTGTGCTGTTCAGTAACTCAAAAAGCAATCATATACTCCAGAACTACACATAGTCAAAATGACCCCTATCTTCAGCTGACAGACGATAAAGGACAGGTTCCAGTACAGCTCTTTGACACAGGAGTTTACTTTCTCCTGTGTAAAAAGGACACAGCACACACCTCTCATTCGCATACACCACTTAGTCACTGCATGAATGAGGCCAAGTGATTTGGACTAGACCTCAGAATCAGCAGATCAGCCTGCCCCATTCACTGTTAGCTGAGCAAAGACATGAGCACATCTTCACAGTGTATTAATAAAAAAAAAAATTGCTGTATCTATGTTATTCTGAGGAAGAATAGGAATCTTATGACCTGAATTACCAAATCACGTCTTATTTAAAAAGTCTTTCCTCAGTAACAAAAGTTCTGAAACATACAAGTATCAAGTTATATAAGCTAAGAGTAGACTTTGCACCTTCCTATATGTTTCTTGTAATTCTTATGCTTGGAATCAGAACTGATCTGCAAAAGAACAGCATTTCCTTCCCTAACCATATCTTTTCTAAAGTAAGGTTTGCATATGGAACTGCCTGAGAAAACTGTTCTAGATATGGTTAATTGTGGAGGACAGTGCTACGGCATGAGTGATCAAGAACTGAATTTTTGGATCTCTTATTCTGTTGTTTTCTGGAATCTACTATTTCCCAGTTGAAATCCTAACATGTCAAGTAACTAAGCACTCAACTATCCAAGATTATATTTTTTTTAAAAAACTACCAAACCAATATGTTTGGAGTTTTTTCTATACCAGAATAGTTTTTCAAGTTCCATACCTCCATGACATGAAGGAACCTGTCCTCAGCAGGTGGATGAGTAGCCTGTAAAATCCGCCAGATGTGCTGAGTCTCATCCAGTGATACCTCTAGTAGATCTCCTACCATCATTAGATCTTCTAGCTGAGCTTTCGCTCCAGGTGACAGCTCCAATACAGGGGGTTCCAAACTGCGAGGTACCAGCGGACTCTTCCGAGGCTGCTTCCTTGGAGTGCTAGAACCTTTCAGACAGGAGGCAAGTCACGTAAGAATAAAAGGAAGAGATCAAAACCAAAAAGAAATTACACACTTTCTACCACAACAATCTAAGGAGGAAGACAATCCCAAGCAAAAAAACATTGACACAGGTTTATGTATCAGATATCAGGAAACAACTGTAATGTAACTCTTCTATACCTTCTTGCAGACAACACATCCTCTACAACTAACACAGGTAACAGAGCAGTTCCTCTCCTTACTAACTGCTCATCCCAGCTATCTGTTTAATTTTACCTCAATGTATAGAAAAGCAAATACCTTGAGAGCAGCTTTTAGAAGCAGACGAATACGCGTGTTCAGCGCAGAATGAGGGAGCAGTCCACATGTGTGTCACCACTTCCTCTGATTTAATGGGGATTTCCTCATCACAAAACAAATTGGGCTCCAAGCTGCTAGAAGATTTTACACTGGCATTGTCCTGAAAAAGACCCACAGAAAATATGCAACATCTGGATCCAGAAAATACCTACTTCAAAGAAAACTCTAAGACTGGTCAGTCTGCTGTTTCTAAAATCCTACTTTGAAGCACTCCACCAGAAACACCGAGACTGTGTGCAAAAGGTACAAGTTACATCCCTACTCAAATAGCAGACGTCTCTATGGAGAGAGGTCAATAGATTCATAGCCAGCTTGTGAGAAACACTGGACAGGTTTCCTCCCTTAGCAGTCACTCAAGTATGTCCTCAGAAGCCAAAATAATGACAAGAGGATGACTCTTAGCCTACGTAATATTCTTGCTTGAAAAACGTGACTGCAAGACCATAAAGACTGGTATCTTTTATAAAGAAGAGGCATGCTAAGTAAACAATGCGGAGAAGGCGCAAGCCCATCTGAGCAGATTCCCTTATATCTTTTTTGCCTCAGTCTTCACTGGCAACC